GTCCCGCTCGGTCCCGCTCGGTCCCGCTCCACTGTGCCGAAGTGCTTCCGGACGTGGGCAATCGAGTGGCATGACCGCCGCGGCCTGCATCCATTCAAGCTGCACTTTCATCCATTTCTTTCCCCTCCTCGCTCACCCACACACAGGAGCGGCGGCGGCTGAAGGAGCGGTATCCAAGCCTGGCGCTGCAGTCCTCCGACGAGGAGCTATGTCGCCAGCTCCTGCTGTCCTACCAGGGCCTGCTGATGTCCAAGGACCTGTGCGAGGGGCGATGCCCCATGGGACAGCCCTGTCCCACCGGGCTGTGCAGGTCGCCCAGCAAGCGGTGAGTATACGCCAGGCTGCGCCGCGGCCGCCGGCGGCCGCCCTGCCAGCTCAACAGCCGCGTCGCGTAGGTTGCCCGCCCTCACGGCGCGCTTGGTCTGCACACAGGACGGTGCGCCGCAAGTCGTCGACGCAGAGCCTCGGCGGCGGCCGGTCGACGCCGCCCACTTCGCCCCGCATGCTGCCCGCGACGCCCACCGGGCCGCCAGGCACGGGGAGGCCGTCCTCGGGCGGCACTCAGGGCGGGCTGGTCCGCAGCGGCTCCTCCATCAGCTACCGCCACCGCCCCAGCGTCTCCTCGGCGCCGCCCTCCAGGTAGGCGACGCGGCCCCGGGTCACCTCTCGCGCTCGCCGTGGCCGTGACTCTGACGACGCTTACCGCCCTTTGTGTCCCGCAGGTCGTCCTCGCGCACCGACCTGCCCAACACGCTGGTGCGCACGGGGTCCGCCTTGGACCACCACGGCGGCTGGATGTCTTCCTCCGGGCCCGGCGCCGGCCCCATGTCCGGCTCCAGGCGCTCCGTGGGGTCGGCGCCCACCTCCCCGCGCGGCTCCCCGGCGCCCTCCCCGCCCGTCACCCCTGCCCACGTGCCGCGAGCGCAGAGGGTGCCGCCCGTCTCCTGAGACAACGCCGCCGGGCCCGTCTCCGCGCCGATGGTGGGTACCGCAGCTGATTGACCCACCTAGATCTCGTTACCCAAGTTAAAGGACTTTTTTATACGGACCACTACACGGTGTTCTTGGGGTCGAGTCGGGCCGGACGCCTGCCAGGTTGGCGGGTAGGCAGTCCCGTCGCGCGCAAGCGCCGGCCGGGTCTGTCTACCCAGCAGGCGCTCAGGACTGCGCCGCGCGCAATCGAAGGAAGCGCGCGAAACTACGTCGATTTTTGAAGTCTCTCCCTTTCCCTTGGCATTTTAGTTGAGACCAGGCTTATCACTAGATGTCTTTGGAAGGTCAAGAATATTACCGAACCGCTGTTGGTAACATTTTTCGTGGTTAACATCATCAGAGCTGAAAGAGAAAAGTTTCCGCATTCAACCTTGCCCCGTACTAAGTTGGAGGGACGTGAGAAAAATACTTTATCTCCTTAATAAAAATAATTTGACTCTGTGTGTTTCCTCAGGGCCTGGCACAAGGCGGAGTGGCGCGCAGGGCGTCGGTGGAGAGTCTGGGTGACGAGGACTACCCCAGCGTCGGTGGCCCGGTGCCGGGCAGTCCGCGGGGCTCTGTCAGCGGCGGGGGCACTGGGAGCAGCGGGGGTGGCAGCGTCCGGCCCCTGGTGCCGCGCCTCTGCAGGCAAGGCTCCCAGGGCACGCTGCCCACGGGCTCTACCGCCTCGCCAAACCGCGGCTCGCCGACGTCGTCCCCGTCCAAGACCGCGATGCTGTCCAGGACGCCGTCGAGGGACTCGGTAAGGGACCCGGTGCGGCGGAAGCTCCCCAACCAGCCCGTCACTAACACACCGACGGCCATCGCGGTGAGCCACGCCACCCCGGTCTGCTCGACGGCCGCGGCGCTGGCCGCCTCCTCGCCGTGCTCCTCGAGCATGGTCAGCTTGGCCAGCCTCAGGAGCATCTCCGAGGTGGCCTCCGACGACGAGACGCCGCTGCAGAAGAGGCGCTCGAGCGTGAGCAGGCCCAGGACCAACTCGGCGCACGCGCACGGTGCCCCGCACGGCGGCCTGCACGGCCCTCTGCACGGCGCCTCCCATACGACCACACAGGGTGGCATGACCACTACCCAGCAGAGCGTGCTGAACCAGAACACGCACCAGGTAGTGCACCAGACCACTGTGCGCGCCACCAGGACAGGTATCATCACCACCTCCAAGTAGTACCGGCGCGTCGTTTCCGCCATGGCTCAGTTTTCATAATTTTTTCCTCTCTGTGGCCTGTGAGGAGGGTCTGGAGTCTGGGTGCCTCTCCTCCTCGGTCCAAATCTCCGGTGAGTGTGGCGCTCAAGGGCTCCGCGTCCGTGACCTCTGCGACCGTACACGGGTATAATCCTGGTCTGTTCTGGTCCGTTGTGTCAATTCTATAGTTTTCACAATGCGAGCGAACACATTCGAACTCGCCCAACGTTACCGTTTTCAGTCTTTTCGTTCCAAGATGCACGCCAGGATATGTGTGTTTTTTTTTACAACATATGAAGGATGCGTTGTCATATGTGTAACAGAGGGAAGTCCGTTACTTTTAGAATATGATTCCGGGTCAAGGCGCATCCTCAGTTACACGGGGCACTGCCCGACAGATCTATTTTTGGAGATTCTATTCGGGCAAATACTGTCGTTGTTGATCTTGTTGTTGTTGCATAGGGTGCTGGCGCCCATACAGAAGTCTACGGGTTTTGTCATCCGGAGCGACTAGATATTTTTGTAGTTTCTCAATTTGATATGCAACTTAGGCTTTGGAAGAGGCGGTCGTGACAAAGATTGATGTGTACATTTTTACCTTTTTTGTATGTGAGAGACGTTCGGTAACGGGGAGAATTTCACTCAGTTGACATGATTAGCATTTTTCCTGACGGTCTTATACCAGGAGGTGACTCACGCGGTACACTTGCGCAGTTATACTGTACTGCATGCAGGCTTGCGGGCGTGTTGCCTACTCGCACGGTGTGAAGAGGAGCCGTGGGCAGAGAGAATAGGCAAACTCGCCCGCACCCGTGCATGCGGTACAGCCTCGGGTACAGCAGAATGACTTTCATAATGCGCGGCGTGAGTCAGCCATCTGCTCTTTCACAAGCTGTTGGCTGTTCATTTTAGGGATATCCGTTGCCTCCCCATTATGATTTCATAATTCTATACAAGATCATGAGTTTTCTTAATTTTGTGAAAATTGTTACATCTTTTTCTTCTACCCAGCGAAATGATAGTAGCGAGTCTTACCGCAGTACAAACGTATTCAGTGCGTGACTCGAGCTCAAGGTAGGAAAGGCGTTCGATGTGACGGGATTTTAGGACACCTGTCGGCCAAAAGCATACTACGCACTTATTCATTTTATCGGCGCGTCTGTGATACATTTTACGCGGTAAACCCTCGTATGAAGAGTGTAACATGAAGCTAACAAAACAGTACGACAAATTAGTTTTGACTGTTCTTATACTGCTTTAATTAGAGCTGTGCGAATCAAGGTTTTTGCCTTCGAATCGGATCGAATTGAATTGGCTCAAAAATTTCGAATCGAATCAAATCAGTCCAAATTCAAGCCCGAATCGAATCGAAAAAAAATCTGTTGTACTTTTTTATGCAAGTAACGCGGTATTTTTAAACTCATTTAAACTGTCCCTGTACCGTAGATGTTCGACGACTGTACAACGACTTGTAGTGCGGGTATAGAGCGGGTGCCGCACACTAGACCCCAATGCGATTCGATGTCGAACTAACCCGATTCGAAATTTCGAATTAGTTGACATCGAATCAGGCAAATTCGAAATCAAACGAATTCGAATCAGGCCGATTCGATTCGATTCGATATCAAACAATTCGCACAGCTCTAGCTTTAATTCACCTATTATTCAATGTCAATTTATTCTTACCGAGGTACTGGCTGACATATTTTGTTGACAATCAAATCACGTTCTCGAGCTGGAGGGCAGACTACATACAGGCTTCCCTCTAGACAAGGGCATCTTCATTTTAACAATCAGTGTGAAACGTTTCAGCGGCGTTTTCAAACATTACCGATAATATTAAGTACATGCATGATTAATCAATTTCAGAGTTCAATAGACTTTAGTGTTACTACCTATATGTTTGGTACAAAGTTTTATGTGTTCATGAATACTAGTGTCTAGTGTCACTAGACGGCTAGTTTCGTTATAGATTTCTTATATAAGTAGCATATAAAGATATTGATAATTAAGTCAAAAACCAACCATATTTTGGATCTTTTTACAATAGAGACTCAACTATTTCCCATGGCCCTGTAGGTACTTCATATTCATAGCTACACACTCCAAAACAACCCTGATAGCTTTGTAGGTAGTATCAGAAATTTGAAACAAACGATTGACTGGATATTCAAAACAGCAACTATAATGTTAAGCATATGCATTTTAATTTAGACTTTCAGATGTAATAGACTGCACAACTGGATGGAAATGACTTTTATAAGATGCACAATTTTTTTCCTTGTTTTTTCTATTTTTGGTGAGAAGGAGCAGAAATTAAATATGTTAAACAATGGAAGGCATACTCCGTGCCTAAGCGACATATCCTAGCCAACTTGGTAGGATTCAGAATTTAGAAAGGCCGATGGTCACAATCTTTTCGTGAAAAATACTCCAACTATAAGGTGAGTTTCTGAGATAATTCCTTTTAGAAAAAGTCCTGACATATCGATAGCAAAATTTCTCAATTCGGTTCAGTTAGTTTTTATCAAACCAAGTCTAAATTTACAATTCGTATCGCCATTATGCACAGTGTGCAGTTAAATAAGTTTTGAGGTGAATTAGGAGTCGTGTCAATTTTGATAGCTTATTACGCAATATGCTAGGTAGATCCGCGCTGGCGTGGAACATTTCAAAATTGTAAAAATTGTAATTTTTTACCGATCCACGATCCATGCCAGTTTTTACGAATTTTAGATCTAGACCGATTTGCTCAGCAGTGTTCTCGCGTGTTGTGTTAAGTGATCAAACTTGAAAGTGTGGTGTTTCGGATCGTTATGCTTTTTAGATGATCGGCACCTTTCCACATTTAGATGAAATCAAAGCAATAAAGTTTGTTTGGGGTAAGGGAAGGGAAAAGTGAGATGTTCAGGGCAGACTTTTATACCAGGTGGCTGATGAACCCCGCACACTTCTGTAGACTGTACCGCACGCAGAAGTGCGGGCGGGCTTGCCTATCGCCCCAGTCCACGGCGCCTTACGGGCCGGGCGAGTAGGCAACCCACACGCACTCGTGCGTGCGGTACAGTCTAACTACAGAGGTGCGCTGGGTCAATCGGCCACTTGGTATATTAAGCCAAAACTGGCTCAAGAGAAAAAGTGTGACTGCTCAATAAAATTGTTAAAAGGTTGTGTACTAAAGTCAATAGATGATTTCTGGTATTGACTTTCTTGTTGTGAACGTTTGGTAAAATTTGTGAATGAGTTTTGAATTTTCAGCTACAGATTTTACATGTAAAATATTGTCACTGTCCTTTTCATGTCCAAATTAATTTGTTGTTTACTGTTGATGAGTATGTCTAGGCAAAGCTTAGATTCATTTTTTATAAATCACTTATAAGGTTACAATCCCCCTTCTTAAAATAGGAATAAGCACAATGAGCATTATTATGTAAAACACCTGAACTAAGAACCGTCCAGGTATTGCAGGAGCGGCATTTTAATACATTATGCCACTTGCCATCCAATAATGTTGTCAATATTTTAAGAGCGGCTCAAACAATACTCTTATTTACACGCCGAATCAAATTTCGAAGATCTGTTGAATGTAAATGAGACTTAAGCCTCATATACTTTGTGGGTGTACAAGAAACGTGGAGCGAGTTAGCTGGAAATGGTCGCATAGTTGCACTATATTGGGTTCTTCGAAGTCTTGTGCATTTCTCTTGTGAATTACCCAATCGTCTTCGGGCAGTTTTTTAAAATATTTTTTTAAAGGCTATACAAGTAATTCGCAAGTGTAATTGAATTCAATAACCTTTTAAAGGGTAAAGTACGAGTACCAAACATTGCAATGGTCGTACAAATTCCTGCTGATAGTTTCCAGCTAACTAAACACGACACTCTATGAGCACTCAAGGCAATACAAAGCCACCCAACAATTATTTACACCATGTCCTTTTAATAAAGCTTTTGTACTAAAACAAGGAAAAATCAGTGTGATCCAATTTGGATAATATCCGGCGGGAAGTACCACCCACCCCACCCTGCCCCCACACCCATATCCCCGATCAATGTACCTGTTAGAAAACCCACCGGGCACCGGACGATCCCGGATCGACCCACATGCGCCAACACGCAACACTGCACAGTAATAATGGCGGACGGAAAACAAGAGCAAATGAAAATACGCCTGAAAAGCAAGAGTCCTCGCCATACACGGGGGGAGGGGGGGGGGAGTCCCGCCCCAGTCAGTCATCATCATCAACCCCCTCTCCCCTTCCTTCCCCTTTCCGCAGCTGTGCTTTTCTTGCGGCGCGGCCAGCGACATTGATCACGCCAACTCCACATATTTCACTGTCACCCTGTTGCCTCACACTTTTCACCCGCGCCTCGCCCTCGCCGCCGCCGCGCTGCAGCAAACCTTCAATGTGGGATTCACTTGAAAAGGAACGCGGGCCTTGAACTTGACCGGTATCGTCGTAAACCTTTCTGCTCTGCCCGCCGCGGCGCGCTCTGCTTCTTTCGTGTGCGCTTTCTCTCTCTCTCTCCCTCTCTCTTTTTTTCTCTCTCCCTCTCTCTCCCTCTCTCTCCCTCTCTCTCCCTCTCTCTCCCACCCACCCACTAACCGTACCGCGGCGTACCGAGCAGAATGATTATTATATCACGGCCCGTGCCGCCGCCGCCACCGCTGAGTGACGCTTGCGACACGCCGCGCTCAAGTCTGCCACCTCGAGAGTCGAGAGGGCGGCGGGAGGAGTCAGAAAGAAATGGAGATACGACTTTAAATGAGTGCCTCGCGGTCCTCCAGCTCCAGCTCCAGCTGCGGGAGGCGGGCTGCGGTGCTGAGCGGCCGTGTCGGACCTCGTTGTGCAACGGCTCTATTACTCTCTTAATTCTCCCCGTACGCCGCCGCGCCGCCGCGCATGCCGCCGCCGTGTCTGAAACCTTTTGTATACACCCTTGTACGGCACCGCGCGCTCCCTGCTCCAGCTCTCTTCCCCGCGGCCAACCCGACCACCAACCCAGCGCAACCTCCACTAATGTCGCATGGCCTTAATGCTCGCTTAATCATCGGCCAGTGAAACATTTTCGATGTTTTCTCACCACCACCACTACTTGTTTCGAGCGCGTGCGCCACGCACAGACACACTAAAGAGTCGTCAGTCAGCCAGTCAGTGCCACCTCGCGGTCCACAGCCGCTCGTTATGAAAAGGCTGCACTCGCCTGCAATTTGCTCCCGCGTACAATATAGGCCATCAGGCGTTTTACATCGCGCCCGCCACGCCAACTGCCCCACCCCGCCCCACCCCACCCAACCCCGCCCTCCGCGGCGCATAATAGCGGCCTGGGCTTTACAGCTCCCTGCCCCGCTCCACTCCACCAGGCGGCGTCGGAGGGCATGGAAGGCTGGAGGGAGCGCAATAATGCGTGCGTGTTTGGCATTCAGATTTTAACAGAGTCACGCGCGTGCGCGGGTGCTACCGCCACCGTTGCAATCTGTAATGTTTCTTTAAAGCATCCCCCCCCCTTTCCTCTTCCTCCCGCTCCCCTCCCCCCGCGGCGACATCGCTAAATGTCATCGGTTCCCGTGCGAGTAGAAGCTTAGCTAGACACTGCGAAACGCCTTGCCGCATTGCCCGTCTAGGCATACGCTACTAGCGTAGGAGCGTGGAAAAATTCACTGATGATATTACACCAGGAAAAAAACAACAGAGTGCTGCCTGTCAAAAACAAGAAAAATTGACTCGTCACGTCACCGTCACACCTCTGGAAGCACTCGTACAGTCGTTCATGGAGTCACCTTGGTCGCAGGCGGCTAAATTTGATTATTTTTTTTGCTGGGTACGCGCTTCACACCGTGTTTTCCAGGAACTCGCGTTAGGCGAAGGCGGCGTAGGGACGCGACGACGCGGCTATGCCTTAAAACGTGGAAGTACCGTGCATTAAATAACGGGCGGCGGTTACGGCAAGCAGGCATGCACCCGCGCCGCCGCGCCGACTTGCTGGCAGAGTACGGCGTTCTGCGACTGCGAGAGAGATGCGCCCGTCTGGGATGCTTTATGTAACGCGTCTCTCTCGTACCCGGTCGACCAGAGAGGCAGCCGTCTCGCTCGCACAGCCCAGCAGGTGCGTAAGTAGTGACCCCCGGCAGCCGCCGCTCAGCCCCTGGATAAGGGGGACAGGGACGAAGAACAGCGAAAGTGACCACCGAGTGTGAGTGGGGGGCAGATAAAGGACACGCCGCCCATCCTTCGTCTCATTGTGGGATCTTTCATCGTGATTTGACGAATAAATAACTCTCATGTTAATCTTTCTTCGCCGATGCTCGCATCAAAACAAGTAAAGTGTGCTTCGTCCTTCATTTCGAATAATAATAATAATGTTCCCTTGAAACGAACTGCACTATAAAAAATATCTTCCATGGAAGATGTCCGCAAAAATATAATCAATAAGTACTTGCGCACATTCCTAGGTGGCTGCATCCGGCCTACACGCGGAAGCACTCGGACGGACACGAGTGACTCGCGGACCTCCTCCGCCGCGCCAAACACACTCTACACTTTCGTACACAGCGGCACGCTTCGCGTAGCGAGAAGGGGGG